GGGGGGGGTTGGATGGGGGGGGGGGGTTGGATGGGGGGGGCAGATGGCATATGTGACTGTATGTAGAGTTTATTAATAATTTTTTCTATTTGAACAAACATCAGTTTATAATCATGATGTTTCCACCTCACTCTTTACAGACGACAGCTGCTGAAGGCAGTGAGGTGCCGAGCAGGGACACAAGACACCATGAATAAGGTGGGGACTGTCTCCCCTGCGAGACACAGGAATGGTCGTTTCGGCTTGCATCCGTCTTGAGAAGAAAGAGAGCACGTGACTAGATATTAACACTAAGTTACGCCCCGAGTTCTATGAGGTTAAAACGCATCTTATTATTATTATTATTATTATTATTATTACTCCCCACAATAAAAAATCGTCAACGGGAAATCCCCATCGTTCTCTTTATTTATTATTTTAATTTCTGCACTGATCCCAATGTGTCTTACAGCAGCGTTTCTCAAACTTTTGAAATTTTTTTGCGGAACATTGGAAAAATCTTGAAAATCGGGCCATGTCTTTTAACTATATTTTCTTTTTTATTTGATCATAACATTTTTTTTTTTTTTTTTTTTTTTGGTGGCCCAGCGCCGTAAGACTTTTTTGGTGGCCCAGCGACGTAAGACTCGAGGACCGATACCGGTCCACGGACCACCATTTGAGGATCGCTGTATTATTATAGCACGATAACATTTTATAAATGTAACAAGACGTAAAAGAAAATTAAATATTTCGAGTTCAAAGATGACCTTGTTTTAGTAGTTTTTTTATTTTTTTTTTATTTGATAAAAAAAATATAATCAATTCCAATGACTTCCTTCACGTGTTCATTGAGTTCACAACTCATGTGTGCTTGAATAAGCAAGGTCGTGCCTGTGATTATAAGCGATGGGCCATCCTGCGCTTTTATCACACCAAGGTTCCCTTACATGATTGCCCGACACAGTCAGGGAAGGGAAAGGTGTCGGGGACAATGTTGACCTCCGTGGTGAACTGTAAAGTTGACCCTTTGACGCCGTCAAATTCCAGCTGCAGCGGGGAAATAACAAAAAAAAATTACATTACCAGCTAGTGAAATAAAATAATTTAAAAAAAATAATTTTAAAATTGCGATGACGGTAGGAAGAAAAAATTAATAATAAAAAAATAATTCAAAACCCTGCTGCGCCTGATTAATTAGCTGCACAACAGACGGCCTGCGGGTCGCATGTGGCCCACCAGCACCCACTTGGCGGCCTGCGAGGCCCGCACAAGCTTTTCATAAAGTATTACGGCCGCCCAAGTTTTTCATAAAGTATTACGGCCCGCCCCAAGTTTTTCATAAAGTATTACGGCCGCCCAAGTTTTTCATAAAGTATTACGGCCCGCGTTATATTTTGAGTTGTGCAGACCTGATTTAGATGTATATTTCTTTCAAAATGTCGGCAGCACACCGGTTTGGTTAACACAGAGTCGTAGTGTCCGATGTGGACTGCCTGGGTGTACAAACTAGATAAACTCAAACCTATACATTATTTTTAAAAATAGATATATTTATATAAAAATTATTTTATTTTTGGGTTGGTGAAAGCAAAGCCGCAAGTTTAGGAGTCGGTGATTTCTTTAGGAGTCAGGTCGTGGTTAGAGAGTAGCAAGGATTTAATAGGGAAACCCTCTCACGCGAGAGCGCTTTGAGAAAGTGATATGAGAGAGTACTATGAGAGAGTACTAGGTGAGAGTGATATCAGAGAGGGCTACGAGAGACTGCTATGCGCGAGTGCTATGTGCGAGTGCTCTGTGCGAGTGCTATGTGCGAGTTTTGTGAGAGGGATATGTGAGAATGTTTGTGAGAGTATTTCTGAGAGTGCAATGTGAGAGTGCTGTGTGTGAGTGTTTGCGAGAGTGCTATATGAGATTGTTTTTAAGAGTGCTATGTGCGAGTGCTATGTGCGAGTACTATGTTAGAGTGTTGGTGAGTGTTTGTGAGAGTGCTATGTGAGAGTTTTTGTGAGAGTGCTATGTGCGAGTGCTATGTGAGAGTGCTGTAAGAGAGTGCTATGGGAAAGAAAACGAAAAGCAATTAAAAATTGTTATCTCATGTGGTGCTTTCATCAGACCATTTTTTTACAAAAAATAATAAATGAAACCTGATAAATATATTGTGTTAGTTAGATAAGACCTTTGGAATATGTTTGAGAAAACATCAAGCATAATTAGCCCACAAAGATTCTCTCAACCTGAATGTAGAAAGCAGTCCAGCCTTTCAAAGGACGCTCAAAATTTGCTTGAAACTGTGTGGGACTGTTTTGTTTTGCCGCGCTGCTCTCCCATAGAACCGGATGTGGAAGTGGTCGTTTGGTGGTTGGGTCCATCACTGCCAAACGGAAGTCTCGCCTCCAAAAAAAACAACAACAAACTTTTGTTTAGAGAGTAGGACAAATTAAATCTTTTAACAAGAACTGCCAAAGATTTTGAAGAAGTTTGTTTCGAAAAATATTATGATGTGATTTTTTAAAAAAATGTTTACATTTGTATACATGAATATTTTTAAAAAGTCAATCATGATCATTGTTTTTTCTTCTATTTCGGACATGCAAAGAACAAAACTATATCTAAAAGACCCAGAGAATTTCGTAAAAAGATGTGACGAGACATTGCAGCTACCTGCCGTCATCCAAAGTCCTGGCGTGGTACACCGTCACGTTTCGCGGTGGTCGAGATGTGGTCACCACGATCTGCCCGCTGAAGGCGTCCGCGGTTCGCACCCACGTCACGTTGGGGAAGGCGGCGTTCTCTAAAATGTTCAAGAAGAATCCCTTGATCGTGAGGAGATAACTCAGCTGATGTCCCGTGAGCGAGTGCTCGGCGTCGGGGATAACTCTGTCGAGCCAAAAAAAAAAAAAAAAAAAAAACCATTTCAAATTAAAAAAAAAAAAAAAAAAAAAATAAAAAAAAAAAAAAAAAAAAAAAAAAAAAAAAAAAAAAAAAAAAAAAAAAAAAAAAAAAATAAAAAAAAAAAAAAACAACTCTCGTATAAACTGAGTACATCTAAGTTATTACAAGTGGAATGTAAAGTGAGATGAGTTAACTTACTCTTGCAATATATGTATTTTATATATTATCTGTATTTGGTATTGGTAATTTTCCATTCAAATCTTACGAACTACTAATTGGATAAGAAGTTCAATAGCTTCGTTAAGTCTAGGGGTAAATATTTTTTAAAAAATGAGCTATTTGACATATGGCTCTTTACTTAACAACAGAGTGCCTTCTTCCCTCCACCATCTTTCTACGCCTCACTTGCTTAGTAAATCCCATAAAAAAAAAAGAAGAACTTCAACTCCCACCCCCAATTACGTCACAAATACAAAGCACATAGCAAACAGCTGCACAGTTAATCTCCACACCAAAACACGCACCCATCGACCTAACCTTCAAAGAATAAATCAATCTGAACGGAGTTCAGACGTCACGCATACAAGCTCGCTACGTGACAGTTTGTGTGGGTGTGTGGACTCAGTACTATTAATATAAAACATGTGGAGTTGGGTAGGGGCCAGTTGTGAAGAGGAAGCAGGACACACCAGAAGCAATATTTATATATATATATAAGAGAAGAGATACGAGAGGCAGGACATCGTTTATATACCATATACTGACCTTAAATATTTCGGCTCCGGTAACTTGTCGTAGTAATAGTGGGAGTCGTCAGGGAGAAAGAACTCGTCACCGGATGTGGTCACTATCAGCTTGGGCATCGTGTACCGCATGAAGTAAGCTAATGTGTGTGTGTGTGAGAGAGAGAGAGAGAGAGAGAGAGAGAGTGAATGTGCGAGTGTAATTGTGTGCGTGTGAATGCGTGAGTGTGAGTGAGTGAGTATGTGTGTGTGAATGATTGAGTGAAAAGATGTGTGTGTGTGTGTGTGAGTGAGAAAGTGTGTGTGTGTGTGTGAGTGAGTGAGAAAGTGTGTGTGTGTGTATATGAATGGGTGCGTGTGAGTGATTGTGTGTGTGTGTGTGAATAGTGGGGTAAAAAAAGATGTTAGAGAATCCTGTTACAATCACAAACTAAATGTAAGTATCGTAATCGCAAATTGCCAGCACCTAAATATCCGTTTCAATTATTTTTTTTAAAAAATCGTATTCGAACGAGTACAGGGTTGTGACGTCAGAAAGATTATGCTACAAGACAAGGCTATTCTTGAATCCTATATGTTACATACGTTTGGACATCATTTATTTAAGAGTCTACAAACCGCCACAGATGCAAAGAACATAGCAACCGCTGCACAGTTCATAGTGCGACTTATTTATCCACGCCTTTGTGTCATGTTGGACATTTGAAATCCATGCCCCGGGTGATAGCTACGGGCTACAATAAATGCTTTAAATAACACACACACAAAGCTTTACTTATACAGATGAACTACATTGAACGGGACTACACCGCATTGAACAGGACTACACCGCATTGAACGGGACTACACCGCATTGAACGGGACTACACTGCATTGAACGGGACTACACCGCATTGAACGGGACTACACCGCATTGAACGGGACTACACTGCATTGAACGGGACTACACCGCATTGAACGGGACTACACCGTATTGAACGGGACTACACCGCATTGAGAGAGCTGCGAGGCGGTCTTGAACCAACAGTGCCTCGCGTTGATCTGGTTGTAGTAGGATGACTTTGCCTTGGTGCCCTTGGTGCCCTTGGTTACAGAATTTTAAAAAAAATCAAACTAAAAACTATGTCTAAATACAAGTCCAGAAGTTAAGTCTACGTACTCAAGGGGTCAATGACCGCTTGCAACCAGGGCATGTTCGGGCTGTCCAGCTGGTAGGTGATGTTCATGTTGTAGTAATCCTCGAATGCAAAAGTCCAGCCGCCAAGGGAGCGGAAGTGGTGGTGAAGATTCTAGGGAAATAGAGTAATTTTACCCCCCATACAAGGAACAAGTTAGAACATAATGGATCACAGGAAATGGATGTGACGGACAGGTATCGGGAATGGTGTTAGAGGTAGGGGTAAGCTGAGCAGAAAACTGTGCGTAATGAAATGGAAGAGTAAAACTTGTATGAATATTTATTAGGAATGGCGTCCTCGTAATGGGGGGCCCGGCAGAGCAGAGCACTAATGTGTAAATAAATCGAACGGTATCATTGTATGGACATGGAAGAGATTTCTTTATAAAGCTACACTGAGATTTCAGTCCTGGTTATGCACTGGCAGTGGCAAAATTAGTTAGTTCGAGGGGTACGTTCTGTGGCTTCAAAGGAAAGATTGCCTGTATGTAATAAAATTATTTTATCAAAATAGAAGGGCTCTGAGAAGTTATGCAGGGGGAACTTTATAAGGTAGACCATGGACTTTAAAAAAATGTATGTAGTATGTAGGAGATTATGTTGATTTTTTAACCTGCTTTGTGTTGAGTAGGTCCATGACAGTTGGCACCATCCCAACCACACGTTTGTCCACTGCTGCTGTTGTCCATGTGGTCCAGCCGCGCTGCAAGCAGAGTAAAATTATCAACCCTACACATTTACTATTGGAAAAGTTAGGAAAATTATGTAACAAGGCAAGAGTCTCCAACATGTTATTCTTTGTAATTTAAATTATAAGTTAGCGATAAAACAGAGCAAGGGTTGCAGATCCCTACATACAGAGGCGGAGCTAGGGTAAGTGCCACCCGGAGTGGGCCAAGCTTTTGCCAACCCCCTCCCCCGTTTCGCGAGTCAAACTCCCCGTGAAAGCCCGCCCTCAATATAAAGAAAAAAAGTTCCACCCCCCCCTGCACACCCTTTCTTACGCCACTGCCTTCATGTTACTTACCAAAACCTAGCGTAAAAAAGGTAAAAAGTATGGATATCTATAAAATTCAGGATCGATTTATGAACAATGTCATATAAATAAAAGGAAGTAAATGAAAAAAAAAAAAAACTGACATTGGTAGGATTTAAGCAAACAGATCAAGATGGATAGGAAGGTTTGAGACAATGGTCTGTGTTACAATACGTGAAATAATGAAGATATGTGACTGATTGTATGGTGCATAGAAATAATTCAATACATCGATCTTTTTTTTACTTTTGATTCTCCGCCTATGACGAACTTGCTGATTGTGTTTCCGGTAATTGTTTTGGAAAAAGTTGAAATGGTGTCCATCCCACGCACCACAGCCTGTAAGATATAAAGAACAGTTGGATTGATTGATTGATTGATTGAATACTTGTATCTACGATAACCATAGAAATCTGAAAAAACGCCTCAAGTCCTTAAACCGTATAACAGAGAATACTTTAAACCATTTTTGTGAAGTGAATTGTTTTTATTGGAGGCCCCGTTTACCTTGGTCATTGGTAGGCGTAGTAATATTTCTGGGTTTGATCCGTTGTCCAGGAACTGTTTCCACGTCCAGGCGATGATGCTGTCCTCGTAGCGCTCTGTGCGTTTGGGATCTGCCTGGGGGGGGGGGGGGGGGGGGGGGGAGGGAGTGATCATTGATTTTATGCGAAAAAGGAAAGTTGTTAGAGGAATGTATTGCAAGTTAAAATTGATTTTATTTACATGAGGATATATAGCAAGTTGAGTTGATTTTATTTACATGATGATATATAGCAAGTTGAATTGATTTTATTTACATGAGGCTATATAGCAAGTTTAGTTGATTCTATTTACATTGGGAAAAATTGCAAGCTGAATTGATTTTATTTACATGGGAATAAATAGCAAGCTGAATTGATTTTATTTACATGAGGATAAATAGCAAGTTGAATTGATTTTATTTACACGAATATCAATAGCAAGTTGAATTGATTTTATATACATGAGCAAAATAATTAATGAATGATAAAAGTCTTAGATTTATTTTTTGTTGGGGTGGGGTGTGGGGGTTTGGGGTGTTCAGCTGTAGCACTTACTTGTACAGGTGAAAAAAACCACAGCGCCCTTTAGACTGATCTCAGACTCACTGCAAGCCCGGCTCACACTCGCGACAGACTCACCAGAGACAGACTCACCAGAGACAGACTCGCCAGAGACAGACTCGCCAGAGACAGACTCGCCAGAGACAGACTCACCAGAGTCAGACTCACCAGAGACAGACTCACCAGAGACAGACTCACCAGAGCCAGACTCACCAGAGACAGATGACAGACTCGCCAGAGACAGACTCACGAGAGACAGACTCACCAGAGACAGACTCACCAGAGACAGACTCACCAGAGACAGACTCACCAGAGCCAGACTCACCAGAGACAGACTCGCCAGAGACAGACTCAGCAGAGAAAGACTCGCCAAAGACAGACTCACCAGAGACAGACTTACCAGAGACAGACTCACCAGAGAAGACTCACCAGAGACAGACTCGCCAGAGACAGACTCGCCAGAGACAGACTCACCAGAGTCAGACTCACCAGAGACAGACTCACCAGAGACAGACTCACCAGAGTCAGACTCACCAGAGACAGACTCACCAGAGACAGACTCACCAGAGACTCACCACAAACACCGTTGGTTGGTTGGGAATCTGGTTGATCACTGCACAGATGGCGCCAGTGCTTTCTGCGAGTGAGGTGAACCCATTGATGCTGTCATCCTTCATGCTTGGCAGTCTTAAATTCATATTAAAAAAAATAAATGATTATGACAAATGAGAAGCTTTATGAGAATTTTTTTTAAATTACATATTTACACAACTATTTGCGAGATCAACATTCAAGACCGAGTACCATAAAGTCAAGGAGCTCTCCTTCCCGTACCATCTAATATCATAAGTACTCACCGGTCTGTACCATACCATGTAATATCCCAAACTTCTCACTGGTCCGTACTATCTAATATCCCAAGCACTCACCGGTCCGTACCATCTAATATCCCAAGTACTCACCAGTCCGTACCATCTAATATCCCAAGTACTCACCAGTCCGTACCATCTAATATCCCAAGTACTCACCGGTCCGTACCATCTAATACGACAAGTACTCACCGGCCCGTACCATCTAATATCCCAAGTACTCACCGGCCCATACCATCTAATATCCCAAGCACTCACCGGTCCGTACCATCTAATATCCCAAGCACTCACCGGTCCGTACCATCTAATACCCCAAGTACTCACCGGTCCGTGTTGTCACCGCCGTCAATAAACAGGAAGGCCGTGTCCGTGTAGACCAGCTTGTTGGGGATCATGACGCTGACGTAGTGCCACCAGATGGGTTTGGTCGTGATGTCCTCTAATATAGGGGGGAAAAACATGGAATCAGTGGCGTAAAAAAAGGGGGGGGGGGTCCGTCCTTATATGAATGGGCACGCCACTGCGTTTGTTTGGGTTTTTTTATTTATTTTTTTTTTGTGGAAGTTGGGGAGGCGACAAAANATGGGTTTGGTCGTGATGTCCTCTAATATAGGGGGGAAAAACATGGAATCAGTGGCGTAAAAAAAGGGGGGGGGGTCCGTCCTTATATGAATGGGCACGCCACTGCGTTTGTTTGGGTTTTTTTATTTATTTTTTTTTTGTGGAAGTTGGGGAGGCGACAAAATGCTAATCGCACCCAGGGCGGCACTAACCCTACTTACGCCACTGCATGGAATAAACACAATTATTAAAGTTCGTTAACGTGAAAGGATAATGTATAGAAGTCTAGAAGAGTAAAAAAAAATGTACAACTAGATAGTTACAAGACTAATAAATGTTTGAGTCCCACGAAAATGGGGAGCACACAGATGGAAATCATCCAACGTGTGCTGTCGAGAGCGCCGGGTGTGTGGCTTCCATCAAGGCAATCAACACAGCTATCAATGGCATGATTAATAATACCCTTATCATTATCAAGAGACACCAATACTCTATCCCTAGACGAATAGAAAGAGTGCATTTGGGGTTCGAACCCACGCCTTACAGATATCCCGTAGAAAGCATGAAGCCACTGCGGCTTGGACATTTACCGATGCCTTGCCCTACTCACCCGTTAGCCATTTCTGTGACGTCATGTTCAGGATGTAGACGGCGTAGCTAGGTCCCTTGATGGACGTTATGAACCCGAAGCCGTAGTTGTTGTCCGGTCTGCTGACGTAATCGTCCAGGGGCGTCGCCTCGCCCCACGTTAACAAGGCGGGTAACATCATTAGAATGCACAATCCGAACCACATGTCTCTTGGCTGAGAGAGAGAGAGAGAGAGAGAGAGAGAGAGGGGGGGGAGAGAGAGAGGGAGAGGGAGAGAGAGAGAGAGAGAGAGAGAGAGAGAGAGAGAGAGAGAGAGAGAGCGTATTAGACATTAGGATAAAACGAATCCTGAAGACACCCCTGTGTAGGATGTGATGACATAAAGGAGCCGCTCATTGGCGTATATCTTTCAATTTATTAAAAACCCTAATTAATTTTATAATACATACTTTTTACGTATTTATATTTTATAATAAAGTATACATTTACAAAAAAAAATCTTATCTTTAGTTTCGCACTGAATGTCAGAGGTATAAAGACTGCGTATTCTTGAACACATGTCAACAAGCTTCCGGTGGCATTATTTTAAAAAAAGAAAAACGTGCTTCTTTTCATTGGATGAACGGAACGAAAATGATGGTAAATATAGTCGTCGCGACATAAGGTAAACAAGAGAATTATAATACAGGTACTAACCAGACCACCAGATCTACTACACACTTATGTAAAAAAAAAATGTTCAATGTGTTATAAACAGCACATGTCGGCCAGGATCAGTTGTCAGTGAAACAGGAGACGGACGGGTGTGTAGTGTGTTGAGTGTCGTTGGAGAAAGGTGACCGTGTTATGAAGGCTAAGTACTCAGAGCCTAGAGCGTCAGCAAGACCGGGTTATTGTTATCAGTGGTAAAGAATGCGTATTTATGACACATCTCCGACACATGGCCACAGGGTATGTGTTACATTGTTAATGATTGATAAACACTGAAAAANAAACCAATGGCCGAGTCTGAGATCAGTGACCGTTCTATTGTCGTTTTGGCTCCAATGACTTTTTTGTGGGTTTATTCCCCCCCCCCTCCCCCCCCCCCCTTTTTTTTGTCTTCAAATAACAAAACAGTTTCGCTTCATCTGAGTGTGGTGCAGACTTACAATATAAAAATTATATTAAAATCATATTTTGAAATGAGCCATCACGTTTGTTTGTTGTTTTGTTTTGGATAGAAGGATAGCAGCCATTTCAACAGAGAAAAGATTTAACAAGTGAAGGAGAACATGACATTCATGCCATGTGGTGTCAAGGTCCCAAAACAAACTGCAATTTACGTTTTTAAAAAGGATTTTTTTTAAAGCCTTAACAATAACAAGAACAACAAACTTATAAAATTATAAGGGCTAGCAGTGGATGAGAAGAGTTAATCCGGTCCTGACGATTAAACCCTATCGAGGTTTAACTATAGTTTAAGACTTATAATTTAAGATCAAAAAAGAAAAAAAAAAGAATTAATACATCTAGCACCGGTTCCTTTTCCGCCAAAATTTGGGAAGCATTGTTCTAGACAATTTTTTTTAAACGTTTTTTTTTTTTCATCCCGAAGTTGAAAGGTCTTTAAAAAATTATCCACATGCACCCTGACCCTGACCCTAACGCAAAGTGGGCCAATGGAGAGAAATGTTGTTTTCATAATGCAAGGCAAATTCGGTTTCACTTAGTAAAAAGGGGGGGGGGGGTGAGAGAGAGAGGGGGGGGAGAGAGAGAGGGAGAGGGAGAGAGAGAGAGAGAGAGAGAGAGAGAGAGAGAGAGAGAGAGAGGGAGATCGTATTAGACATTAGGATAAAACGAATCCTGAAGACACCCCTGTTTAGGATGTGATGACATAAAGGAGCCGCTCATTGGCGTATATCTTTCAATTTATTAAAAACCCTAATTAATTTTATAATACATACTTTTTACGTATTTATATTTTATAATAAAGTATACATTTACAAAAAAAAATCTTATCTTTAGTTTCGCACTGAATGTCAGAGGTATAAAGACTGCGTATTCTTGAACACATGTCAACAAGCTTCCGGTGGCATTATTTTAAAAAAAGAAAAACGTGCTTCTTTTCATTGGATGAACGGAACGAAAATGATGGTAAATATAGTCGTCGCGACATAAGGTAAACAAGAGAATTATAATACAGGTACTAACCAGACCACCAGATCTACTACACACTTATGTAAAAAAAAAATGTTCAATGTGTTATAAACAGCACATGTCGGCCAGGATCAGTTGTCAGTGAAACAGGAGACGGACGGGTGTGTAGTGTGTTGAGTGTCGTTGGAGAAAGGTGACCGTGTTATGAAGGCTAAGTACTCAGAGCCTAGAGCGTCAGCAAGACCGGGTTATTGTTATCAGTGGTAAAGAATGCGTATTTATGACACATCTCCGACACATGGCCACAGGGTATGTGTTACATTGTTAATGATTGATAAACACTGAAAAAAGCCTTTTGAACACTCGGCTGATATTCTCATCATATCCCAGAACATGTATAAATATAGTCTTAAAAAAAACCGATGGACGAGTCTGAGATCAGTTATCGCTCTAGTGTCGTTTTGGCTTCAATGACTTTTTTGGGGGATTATTCCCCCCCCCTCACCCCCCCCCCTTTTTTTTGTCTTCAAATAACAAAACAGTTTCGCTTCATCTGAGTGTGGTGCAGACTTACAATATAAAAATTATATTAAAATCATATTTTGAAATGAGCCATCACGTTTGTTTGTTGTTTTGTTTTGGATAGAAGGATAGCAGCCATTTCAACAGAGAAAAGATTTAACAAGTGAAGGAGAACATGACATTCATGCCATGTGGTGTCAAGGTCCCAAAACAAACTGCAATTTACGTTTTTAAAAAGGATTTTTTTTAAAGCCTTAACAATAACAAGAACAACAAACTTATAAAATTATAAGGGCTAGCAGTGGATGAGAAGAGTTAATCCGGTCCTGACGATTAAACCCTATCGAGGTTTAACTATAGTTTAAGACTTATAATTTAAGATCAAAAAAGAAAAAAAAAAGAATTAATACATCTAGCACCGGTTCCTTTTCCGCCAAAATTTGGGAAGCATTGTTCTAGACAATTTTTTTTAAACGTTTTTTTTTTTTCATCCCGAAGTTGAAAGGTCTTTAAAAAATTATCCACATGCACCCTGACCCTGACCCTAACGCAAAGTGGGCCAATGGAGAGAAATGTTGTTTTCATAATGCAAGGCAAATTCGGTTTCACTTAGTAAAAAGGGGGGGGGGGGGG